AAAATATTGAGGATATGATGGACGTATACAGTCTTTTACATTTGGATGTAAAAAATTTCTGTGTTTACAGTCTCTTTCCAAATCATAATCTACAGATTTCGCTGCAATTTGGCTTCCAATGTTCCTATAGCTATATTATCTAAGAAGCTCCAAAGTATGCATTGATTTATGAAGATGAGAATGGGATGGATGTTGTATGAACTCCTATAACATATAATAAAGATGCATGGTGTATAGTCACAATAGATGTTGCCATGTCAAACTATGTGCCAATATTTCTACGTAGAATCCTGGCTTCTTTTCGATCCCGTTTCCTGCCTCACCCACACGCTATATTGTGTAACTAAATCAGCTAGGGGACTTGTTTAAAAATCTTCATGGTACATTATACATAGTAGAATTGCATGCTTTGGATTCTTATCTATTATAACTATTGATGCACGAGTATACCTGAAAAAAACCAAATTCCTTGCAGGCAAAGCTAACTTGCTCGATTAGCAGCTCTCTAAGGATTGGGTTTTCTAGCATAGATAAATCTATAACAGGCAAATCTGCAGTTGACGAAGGTAGATTTTGGCTAATGTTAGGGCGATGTTCCGGTGGAAGAATATAACAATTGGGAATGCTGCTTATTCCCATTTGAGCAAGTTCCATTGCGTTTGTAAATGAGCTATCTGAGTTCCCCATTTTCTCCATCACTTTCTCTTGGTGCTTCTCGGGTTCCTCCACCTCCAACGTTATGCTCATTTATACTGGTCAACTCCATTGATTTCATTATTAAATTTGTTTGTTTAATTGTACAGTTACAATATATTAAACTAGTTGTGTACAAAGTCGTCGACATCATCTCATACTTGAAGCACATACTGGGGGCTTCAAAGGATGTTTTGTTTCATTGCTTAGGGGTGAAAAAGAGGCTAAAATAGTTAAGAAAAATTAAACCAGGTGACATGAACAAGTATGAAATCTCATGCATGTACCGTTTGGGATCCACAAAAAGGAAACTGGAGGCTGTCTTGTTTTCAGTTCAATTGTTTTGTGCAAAGTCAATGTAACGTGAAATAACTGGAAGCTGGAAAAGACAAATATTTGATCAAGTGGGTTTAATTAATATATTATTCTTATTGTACTATTTCTTTACTAGTAAAATAGGTAATTTTCTTTCTTCCTTAATTTATGAAGTTAAGTTTTATCTTTTATCAAGCAGGGAAAATAATTAATTATAATTAGATTTTGACTATTTTTTAAAATCTATGAAACAAAAACATTTCTAATTATAAAACCAGCCAACGGTATGCAAACTGGTTTGGCCTTTTCTAAAACAAGCCGTGGAAGTGTTGAGCCGATTTTTTTATTTATTTTTTATTGATCTTGTTTCATGTATTCCTCTGGGAATTTGTACCAATTGACTACAAAAAAGAACAAGTTATTAGATTCTATACATGTATAATGTATGGAAAAAAAATACATAATTATCATAGTTTCAAGATACACTTGAAATTAAGGAACTTGATGAATTCTATGAAAAATCATTTTGGGGTCTGATAAAATTTTGGGACCTATATTTAATCAAAAAGGTTCTGGTCACAATGAACACACAATTTATGGTGATAGTCACATACTAATTACAAATCACACATCACAATCACATATTTTAGTTACAAATAAAACATTTTAATAGGTCATAAAATTGTATAGTAGACATAAATTATCCGATTAACATATCAAAATTACTTTCATTTCACCTCATCCCATTCCACCTCGCCTTACCTTACCCACAAATGTTGGCACCACACAAATCGTCGTCATCACCTCAAATCTACCTCCCCTCATCACCACTTGCACCTCAATCAACAACCACATCACCTTCAATGCATCACCACCACTACAATCTGCAATCCTACAATTTCTGCTGCCATTGCATAAGTCAGATCAACAAACTTCCCAAACCTATTACAGCCACTCACCACCACCAAACCTCGAAAAATACCAATTTATCGGCTACACCAATAGCAGCCAGATGGAGTTATGATGGTGAGCGACTGTGAGCAGCGACACGCGATTATGAGATCAAATCTTCAAATCGCAGCCATAAGTCGAGCAATGGTGGGTCGGTATGGAGTAACGATAGCAAGTAACTACAAGCAGTAATGATGAGTAAGGCGGGGGTTTGGTGTTTTTAAGTAGTGGTGGGATAAAATGGATAAAAGGATAGGTGAAATGATGTGAGGAGGGATGGGTGTAGTATTTACCTGGATTTTTAAAGAATAAACTTAAAAGATTTTTGAAATGGTAAGTTGAAAAATAGGAGTACGTGTAATTTCATGATAATATATTGACTTTAGTTTTTATGGGATTATGAATTGGGCTAATGGGCTCTAAGCCCAATAACATCCTAGCTCCTTTAGTTTTTAACTTGGAGAAATTACAAACAATCAGAATTTTTAAGTTCCAATTTCAAAAATCATCTCTAAGGTTAATTTATACAAAAATCAGATAATAAATTCACGTTTTAATTTAATAATAATATTGAATAATTAATCAATCTATATACCTCGCCCTACATCCTTCAACCAATTCAAAATTTTCAAACCCTAATCATTTTTCCCAATCACCTCTCTCTCTATCTATCTCTTTATTTGTTAAGAATATTGAGCCTAACTCCACCTAATAAAATCGGCTTATTAGGAGAGGATTGCCCTCACCTTATAAAGTTGATCATTTATATTTTCCC